CAACCTCAGCTCAGCCTTCAAGAAGGCAACGAAGTTTCAAAGTCAAAGCATTCCACCTTTTAATGCCAAGAGATTTTCACTACACCACATGGAACCATTCATGAAGGCCCCAGACGTAGATGAAAACTATAAGCTCATCAATGACGCTCGCATCAGGACTTATAAAGTGGAGGACAAGAAGCTAGCGCAACTAGACACAACCACTAGACGTACCTTCTTTGGTTTAGCCAGATCAAGAGCCATCAACGAAACCCTAATTGCGAAGTTTGCAAACTCAACATCTGAGGAAGATCGAATGATCTACTCAGCCTTACTGACCCAAAGGAAAGACCAACAGTTCATGTCCGGACATTTAGCGTCTACATCGCGGGATTACGCTGCTAAGAAGACAAGGTCTACTATCATCTTGTAAATGGAGTGAGAAGTTCACCAAACCGTTATTCAGAGCTCCATGGGCAGCAACGAATATCTTCGCAGGGGAGATTGAGGACGTGGCAAAAGAAGTTATGAAGGCGTTCAGAGAAGTCATGATGATCAAGTCCATCGATACACTGGCCAGCGTTATCAGACAGACATCGCAGCGCTACTCTGGCAAATCAAAATTTGCAGGAATTCAGAGAACTAGAGACAAGAAATATGGCACTTCCAAGGGATATAAGGATTCTTTTCATCGCCCAACCGGAGCTCCCAGAGGTAACCCCAGAAGAGGCAGAGGATTCAGAGGTGCCTTGAACTTTAGACGTTGATGGACAGGGTCGGAACGACTGGAGTCTTCCACCCCCCAACCGTTCCCGTACAACCCTCACCAGTGGGTGGACGCCTACAACTTTACTGGAAGAATTGAGGAATTCTACAAGACGATTATGTATCCCAGATACTACACAGAGGAGACAAGATAGAACTGCAAGCAGTTCCACCTTTAACAAGCACTCCTCAGATGAACAACTATGCTGCCGATCAGAAGGAGAAATTACTCGATGCCATTACAACTCTACTCGACAAGAAGGCAGTCGAAGAAATAAAAATCGTCACACACGGTTTTTACTCCACAATTTTTCTAGTTCCAAAAACAGGCCTACCAAAGAAGACTTCCCCACTGGGCAGAAAAACGCAGAAAAGCCCACATTAATCGTGGAAATAGCAACATAAATGTAATACCTCGCTACTGAAACAGTAAAAACGGCAACTTTAAATCGCTAACACTGCATCATAAAACGAGGAGCCTGCAACTTCGATTTTGCGCATAAGCACATGGAAGAGGAAGTCTCGACCGCATGTTGACATTTTCCAGCTTGGACAAAAGTTACATTCCTTTTTAAGTATTTCTGTTGTGTTATTTAGCATTTATCGTCATGATACTTGTGTGCTAATTTGTTTAGTTTACTTCCCATTCGTATGAAACGATTGACAGCAATTATTTCGACATATTTAATACTTTTTCTACGTGAGGCGATTCACGGTTGCCCGGAAATTGGAAAGAAGCCGTGATCGTAATGCTCATGCGCAGTAGAGGTCTAAGTTCGCTGATACAAAAAATGTTGCAGTTTCATAGTTTTTCGTTGCCGTTTTCACTGTTTCAGTAGCGCGGTAATGTGTTTATGTTGCTATTTCCACGATTAATGTGGGCTTTTCTGCGTTTTTCTGCACAGTGGCAAAGTTTTCTTCGGTAGGCCTGAAAAAAAAATTCTAAGGAAAAGTTCTGACTGATTTACAACATGAAGAAATTCAACCAGGATTATCTAAGAAGGCCCACAAGATTCAAAATGGTACATCTTCCACAACTCAGACAGATCATCTGTCCGTCAGATTATCTAGCCAGCATAGATCTACAGGATCGTATCTTCACATCCCAATACATCAGGACTCAAGGAGATACCTCCGATTCCTATTCAACGGACGTCACTGCCAGTGGAAGGTACTACCGTTTGCAATATCATCAAGGTCTATGCAGTGCGTTTTACCTAGACGACGGGATTCAAGCTCATCAAGATCCCAATCTACTCAGACAGCAACTGACATTTACGATCAAGCTCACTCAGCTAGGATGGTTAGTAAATCATCTCAAATCGGAATTGGAGCCTACACAGGATCTACAATTCCTAGGAATACGAATCGTCACTTCAACGAATCAACTACTAGTCCCGGAGGACCATTGGACCAAGATACAACAGATGATATCACAAACACTACTCTCTCTCTGTTACCACTACGAGAGTGGCAGAGTCTACTCTGTCTCCTCACGTCAGCACAAGACATGACACGCAGAGGCAGATTACTTTTGCGCCCACTACAAGTGTTTGTGAACGATCATCTAGACAGCCTGGATCCATTCGTCCTACTGAACGAACTGAAACCATACCTATTATGGTGGACACGGAAGTCGGATGTCTGCGCAGGAACCTCCATAGTAGAGCCGGAATCCAACATTCATCTCTACGCAGATGCGTCCCTTCAAGGATGGGGAGCTCACTTAAACAACAAAGTGGCATCGGGGAAGTGGTCGAATCAGGAACAAAAACTACACATCAACATGCTAGAGTTGAAAGCAGTTATAAACGCCTTACTACACTGGTCCAGCATACTAAGGTACGCTCAACTGATGATCCATACGGACAACTGCACAGCGGCGTTTTACATCAACAAACAAGGGTCAACAAGGTCAAGGAGCATGTTGGACCTCAGCTTTCAACTATTCAGCATAGTAGACAACCTGAACATCGACATAAAAGCATCACACATTCCCGGAGCCAGAAATGTGATAGCAGACGCCCTATCCCGTCCAATGAATCCATCACCGACGGAGTGGATGTTACATCCAGAGGCATTCAGGGACATCATTCGGACAATAGGATCCCCACTGGTAAATCGCAACCAAGTTCAACAAACAACTACCAACATTCATCACTCCGGTTCCAGATCCTCAAGCATGGGCAACAGATGCTCTAAGCATATCTTGGGAAGGACTAAACGCTTACGTGTCCCTCCACCAGCGTTAATACCAAAGGTATTACAGAAAATCTAGGTGACGAACAAGTTACAACTGATTTTGGTCATGCCTTATTGGCCAGCGAAAGAGTGGTTCCCCAACCTCATACAAGATATAGAAAATCCAATCCTACAACTTCCAAAGTGGCCAAATCTACTGATTCATCCACACACCAAGCAAGTACACAGAAACCCAACAATGTTTCAGCTACACGCATGGAGCTAATCATGACTTGCTTGAAGAAAAGAGGATATTCCACCAGAGCGGCCAAAGCAGTAACTTTAGCCATACGTAGATCAACCCGTACCTTGTATGATGACAAGTGGCAAAGTTTTGAGAAATACGCACGGAATAAAGGCTTCACTGCGATGGAAGCAACACATCCTCAAGTGACGGAATATTTTTGTCATCTCAGACAGACAAAACGATTAAAGGGATCTTCATTCTCTACATAACTAGCGGCCTTGAGCACAGTTATCACGATGAAAACGGGTATAAAACTGACCAAAGTACCAGAGATACTGGCACTACTACGCTCATTCAAGTTGGAAGACCAACAAAGGAAATTCAAGGTGCCCGCTAGGGATCTCATTGTGGTTTTACAGCATCTTACCAGTGAAGATTATGAACCACTAGAAAGGACATCATATGAGAAATTAACTCATAACCCTCGTAGCCCTAGCAACAGCGGCAAGGATGTCAGAAATTCATGCTCTAGACTTCGGAAGAACAAGATTTGACACGCATCGTGACACCGTGCATCTGGGACTAAGATGGGATTTTATAGCAGAGAATCAACTGCCCGGTCAACCAGACAGACAATTCCATATCCCAGCACTTTCGTCGATATTAGGACCACAGGATACTCAAGATCGATCCTTATGTCCAGTCCGAGCATTGAAAATATATCTACAAAGGTCGAAATTGAGGAGAGACGAAAATTCAAGCGCCTTTTCATCCCTCTATCTACGGAGACACCTACAGAAGTCTCACGTAAGACTATGTCAATATGGATGAGAGCCGTCATATTGAAAGCCTATAAAGCAGCAGGACTTGATCCTCCACGAGTCTCTAATCCTCATGAAGTCAGAGCACTGGCATCCACACTAGCTCTGCATGGAAACTGCTCCATCTCAACGATAATGGAGGGCTGCTTTTGGAGATCGGAGACAGTGTTTGCCAACCACTACCTCAGAGACATGGCTACAGAGGACGTCTCCGGCATCCACCAGTTTGGGACCCTTGTTGTAGCACAAATGTCACCCCTTTGTCACGTGACTTGTAAAAGCCAACACTCAACAGAGTTACTGTTTGAAAGTCCATGCGCACGTCTAGGACAGGCTAGCATGAGTGATTGACCCTGTACTTGTAAGGACTTACTTGTACACGAAGTAGAGTCGCTTCTCCACTTGATGCAGGCATCAAGGGATGGAGTTGCATAAATCCACACAGAATGTCAGGAGAAGATTTCCAGGATAAATCTGACAAGTTGTGGTCCCCCCACTCATCAGAGGAAGCTGGAAGAAAGGACAAATGCCATTAGAAGTTCCCTAGGGGGTATAAGGACGTAAATCAGCAGAGAATCCAGAGTGGCTTGACCCACCACCGATTCCATCGGATTCTACAAGAAATTAAGCATGAGTCAGGATAAGGAAAAATATGAAATTTTCTGATTATAATTGATATTTTATACTTATCCCGACTCATGAGGTTAGCCCTCCCAACCTCCCCTCATGGCACTCTGGATTTCCCTGCAAATCCAAGTGTCGGGCTCGAATATACGGAGAGAGTGACAAGCATGGCTGATCATGTGACCAACTTTTGGCGCCAAAGATGGGGTAAAGGGAGACTACTGGGGATGGTGATTTTACGTCCACTTTTTTGAAGGGAGCTTCAAAAGGGGATTCAAGTGTTCCATTATAGTTCGCAAAAAGAAGAAGACAAGCAATTAAGCATGAGTCAGGATAAGTATAAAATATCAATTTTAATCCGAAAATTACATTATTTGTTGCAGATATTTGTTGAAGTTTGGCGATGTGACTTACTACCTTGGTTACAATGCTCTCAAAGATTTCTTCCCCACCATGACGATGAGGCCTAACCCTCAGTGTGATGATAACCACTGTAGGAGACAACAACAGCTGTATCAGGTAGTTTGTTACAGGGATGATTTGTAGAAGTGGTTTACTTCATCTAATAGCTGTACATATTGTAGGTATTTGGGAAAGATGTTCTCAAAGTTCAGGTTAATTTACAACATGAAGCAATTCAACAAGAATTACTTAAAGAAGCCAGAGAAGTTCAGGATGCTCCATCTTCCTAAGCTAAGCTAAGCTAAACAAATGATAGGGCAAAACAACTTCATGGCAAGCATAGATTTAAGGGATGCCTACTTGGAAAGTTCTACCGTTGGACATTTTCACGAACCCGTGGTTATGAAATGCAAGTAACCAAACCTATTGTGAGATTCCTGCTCAACAGGGGGATGAGATGCGCATGTTATCTAGACAAAGGCATCCAAGCTCATCAACAACCCAGATAGCATTTGGACGTTGGCCAAACGTTGGCAATGTTGGCAAAGCCATTGCCAGACTCCAAACTTTGACGAAGTGAGAGGTTTTTAATCCCACATCTGGATCAACAGGTCTTCAGACCGCATCTACCACCTTATCTACTACAGTATCTGCAGTGGTGGTCAAGAAGGCGACCATCTGCTCACCCATTTGAACAATCCAAGCTTCCACCTACACCTGTACATAGATGCATATGTATAGGGTTGGGGAGCAAACCTGACACACAGGTAGCATCAGGAATGTGGTCTCCGGAAGAAAAGCAACTTCATATCAATCATCTAAACTCAACAGTAGCCTTTTACATCAACCTACAAGGCACAATGAAGTATCAATTGAATCACCTCACAGACAGCCCAACCCCGTGGATAAAGGCGAGGCACACCTCTGGAACAGAGGTGTCTGGATAGAGTGCACGGCCTGGATAGGGTGTCTAACAGACACCCTATCCAGGCCATGCAAGACGTCACCAATGGAATGGAAACTTCATCTGGAAGCATTCCAACTGGTAATATAACAACAAGGTTGACTGTTAGTGGACCTGTTCACAACACTGTTCATCAATCAAATGAGCACCTTCATCTCTCCAGTACCAGATCAGATCCATTAGCATGGCCAAACGATGCTCTGCTGATATCTCCATGTGTATGTGTTCTCTCCATCAGAAATACTACCATTAGTACTGCAAGAGATAAGCCAGACCAGTTACCTGTTACCGCTTTTGGTCGTGGCTTATTGGTAGACCTCACAGAGTTAGGAGGCAATCTGGCTCTAAAACTTCGAGATTGGTCAAATCTTCTCATACATCCTCACACAAAGCAGAAGCATCCAAACCCAGCCTCCTTTGATCTGCATGTATGTAGCATATTAAAAGGAACTGAACCAAATGAGGCTACTCTTCCAGAGCAGCATCAACAGTCTTGCTAGCTCTACGCATATCCACTGGAAGTTTGTATGATGATAAATGGAAGACTTTCGACCAGTTTGCGAGAAGTAAGGTGTTCAACTGCTAGGTCAGCCAGACCATCAGTTTATGTCCCACAATTATCTTCAATTCTTGGCAACGAAAGTAAGGAAGATTTAACACTTTGTCCAGTTACAGCCCTACACATTTATTTATGTAAAATGAGCTCCAGACACCACAAACTAAGACGTCTCTTCATCCTACTAACAAGAGATTCTACGACAGAAGTCTCCAGAACGACGGTATTCTTCTGGATCAGAGCTGTTATACCTATTGAGAAGCAGGCATGGCACCTCCATCGGCTTGAAACCCACACAAAGTAAAGCACTAACGTCAATACGAGCACAACATGGCGACTGCTCTATCCCTACCATTATGGAAGGATGTTTCTGGAAATCAGACAGTGTTTGCCAATCATTATCTTCATGACTTCGCTACTGAGGATGTGGAGGGTATACGTCAAGGTCCCTGATCCTTAGTGGTTGAGCAACAACTGACAATACCCAATCAGAAATGAGGGATAAAATCAGACTCTTCCATGTCAGGTAGACTTGTAGAAGTCAGGTTACCGTTTAACGATCATAACCACCGACTGAGAGTCATGTACCCGTTTTCGTAGGAAATCAGAACATAAGTGATGAATGATTGTGTAAGATTACAGATCATTCTTTTTGCACAGTAATCATTCATAACCAAGTTGCACGCTTACCAAATCCACATTATCTATGTTATTCCTTCTTCTTTCAAAAGTTTGGATTTTTTGTCCCAATGGATGAAGAAAGCAGATGTCCAGAAGTATGAAGAAATACATTCCCATGGGGCAAGTAGAACCGAGGATTGTTCTGAATCTCGCCACCTACTGTGTGATTCAAGCAATTAGTATGAGTCAGGATAAGGTAAAATACATATTGTTTGGATAAAAATATTATTTATACTTAACCTGACACATATGCTAGACTGCTCACCCAGCCGTTCCTGCTATCCAGTTCCGGAATCAGACTAATAGGGGTAAGCTGAAATGAGACAGTGACAAGGTATGTGCTTCCAGTGTGGCTACGAGGCTGACTAACAGTCCTTTGATTTTCTGTTCTTGGTGAACACAGGCACTTGACTTTCCACTACCATTGGGAAATGAGAAGAGATAAGCAATTGGGATGAGTCAGGATAAGTATTAATGATATTTTTATATAAAAATATACATTTTTTGTGTATCCTCTGGAAATTAAAAGTAAAGTGTTACCAAATTTCAGCTTTTTTTGTATTAATAAGAGTAAACCACTTTGATATGCATAATGTTGTTTTCAATGCATATACAGTCATCCCTCGCCATAACGCGGGTCTTGGGGTCCATGGATCACCCCCCATGTTATTAGACACCCGCGTTATAGTAACGATTACATAACGCGGAACAAAGGCCAAGTAAAATCGTATTTTCCATTGACATAACAAAACGGCTATTTCGTGTATTGTGCCCAGTCAAAACTATATCGTATTATTGGAGGTGGAAAAAAACAAAACTTTGTAAATGAAAATAGATGTATGTACATGAAACTTGCAATCAAACATCACAAGACATGATAATCAATTGTTGTTCCTGTAATGCTACCTGTTATTCAACTAAGCCGGAAATAGCAATCAGCTGGGCACAGATCGGTGTTTTGGTCCAATGTACCGGTGATTCAGTTAAAAACGATCCGAAAATATAACATCAAAGAATTTCTTTTCCATTATCAGAATAATTTATAAGTCAAGCAGTTATTCTAACAGAGATGTTCTATATTGCTATCGTATAAGTATAATGCATGTTTTCTACGAACATATTTAACATAATAATTAGCATTGCTAAGCACTTTGGGTTACCTGGCTGGAAACATGTTACGTAGGAGACAGTTTGACAAGTCATCGCTGACTTCCCGCGGTACGTGCCACTTTGATTGTAAAAACAAAATGTTGGCAATTAATTGTCAAATATGACTTCGATGAGTCAATAACGCGGGTCTTGGGGTCAATGGATGACAAGGCTGTGATTGCAAGTGATTGCTGAGAAAAATGTGAAATTGGTGCTATCGTTGTAGGCTCGAAAAACGGACCCTCACGAATGTGGTAAGCGGGCGTTGTATGGAATGAGGTAATGCCATTTCACTCATGGTTTCTCCATTGTTAAATGGGATTGAATTTAATCAAATAAAATGTGTTTTCTGACATCATACATTCTCGGATGGTGGTGTTTACCCTTGCAATTATGCAGTGTGTTGCATCATAGCAAACGTTGTAAGTAATCGGGGTGATGACATGTCTTTATGATAAAGTTATTACAATGTTTTGCTGTTCATCTATTATTAATGACAAAAATCCCTGCATGTTTTAAGCATCTGAAAAACCATGGATATGTACTATAAACACTGTTAATTGCAATCCACACTGAATTTCACTAGTTTACAACGTGATTAACCAGAGCTCAACCGCAGATTTGTTGATGTGCTATTTTCGATGACGTGAATATGTGTGATCACTAGGCAACTTTTATGGGAGCCACGGATTACCCCGCGGTTTAACTGAATCCGCGGTATTGCGAAGAGCGTTATTGCGAGGGATGACTGTACTACAACATAGAGTGAACTTGTTCTTATCATATCAAAAAAGTTGGTGGTGCTGGATTAATTCTCATGTGTATACATGCAGTATTTTGTTTCAGTTAAATTCAAAAATATTTTACATACACATACTTTGTATACAGAAGTTTAAGAACATGCAAGTCAATAGTCTGTTAGTGCACCTTTTCTCTCGATACACTGTTTGATGTGGCGGTCCATGCTGTTTATCAAATTGTCTATGTATTCCTGGGGTAGATCTACCCATATTTGATTGATGAGGTTGGACCATTCCATGACACTCTTTGGCTCTAGTTTTTCTAGTTTGTCCTTCGTTATCTGCCACACATTTTCAGTGTGGTTCAAGTCAGGTGATGCGACTAGACATTTCTGTAAAGTCATGTGATTTGTCTCAAAACAGTTACGGGTGTGTACAGGTGCATTGTTCTGTACAACTTTGAAAGGTATTCCACTCTGACAAATATGTGATTCCACTATACCTTCTTGTATAAGGTAGCAGTACTTGAGTGAATCCATCCTTCCTCTAATAGTCAGAAGAGGCTTTACTTCGAGTTTGCTAAGGCACCCCAAATCATGACACTTGATGAGAACTTCGGAACCATTTTGCAGCAACGACCACCTCTTGACCATCTTTTTCTGGTGATCCTATAAAACTGGAACTGGATTTAAAAGGTCTTTACACTGCATCTCTGTGCATCACTGGAGCCTTTTCTCCATATGTGCTGCTGTCATTAATGGGATTTTCTTTTGGACTCGCTTGACCTACCCATATTGCTTCAAAGATCTTCTGATAGTCTATCTGATACCACAGGGGTTCCGTACTTGAATGCCTTCACAGCAACTTGTTTGGCAGATCAGCTTGAGTGTACCGCTGCAACACAAGTGATCCGTTGCCTGTCATTCACACTGAGAGAAGCACGTCGTCCCGATGCAGCCCTTCGCTCTGACCCAAGCTTCAAATTTCTTCTCATTGTGATAGATTTAAGCCTCATGTAAACCTGTCAAATTCACAAGGCAGTTTACTGATTTCATACCAGATTTATAAAACGCCAGGACTTGATTTCTTTTGCTTTGTAACGTCATGCTACAGTTATGGTATTTTTCTGCTAGCAATGACCAAGCCATCTGTGAACTCAAGGGAGATAATCCCGTAACAATGGCATAAGCTACAGACAGCTCAAAACACATTATTTGGGCTGTTTCATGAGTGAGATCAAATCCGAGGGAAATATGTTTGTCGCATTTTTTCTGCTCATTACCATAGACCATTCTTTGTAGAACGTACCAATTGTCTACACTGAGTAGACATATGGAGCTACCTCTTCATAGGAATGCACTGAAAAATTAGTTAATGAAGGAAAAATCTTTGCTGTAGCTGTGATGTATGTTTTGGTTAGGTTGCCTCCTTCCCACCAACACTTTCACGTGACTGGCGGCCATAATGTCACTCTCTCCTTCATTGCCCAAACGGATGGTTGGGCTGGAACCTCGGGTCCCTTGTAGGGCTAATACGCATTTACCCTAAGGCTAAAATCCAAAATTTTGCCGTAGATTGATTCCTATATTGTTTGGTAATCGTTATGATGTATTTATATTAATTATGCACAGCTAATTTCTTGGTTTTCTCACTTTATTTGCAGATAGGCTGTGACAGATGCGATCTTGTCAACAATGCAGATACTGTATTTTTGCTGCTGATCCACTCCCTGTGTGCCCTTCGTGCGTTCCTACGTCATATTTTATTACTTCATGGTGTTAATATTGTGCACATTTATTTGAATGTTATAATATATAATTTTTAAACTATCTCAAGATTAGCACTTTATTCTCTTGCTTTGATGCTGAGTGGAACGAATGTGAACTTTCTCTGTAGGGATCTCTTGTCCATACGCCCGTGTGTGTTTCCCAGACTGCTCTCCTTATAGGACAGGTCCTTAGTCCCTTGCTAAGCGTGCAGCACTCTACCCTATCTACCAACGTGCCTACCTCAGAGTGATCATTCTACTTCTTGTCGCAACACTCTGTAGGCATCACGAACACTCATACACATATGACTACTCCATTACCGAACGTCTTTCGATTCCCGTCTACCTTCGCAAACCCATCTACGGCCTTCTTCAACCAACCTATCCCAGCCTTCGCGAACCCATTCTCGGCCTACCATTATCCAGGGATGAATACTCAGGCATTCAATCAACCACAACCGGACTTCGTCGCAGATATCACTCGACAAGTTATGATGGCTATTCAACAATAGCAGTTGAATGCGGACTTGGATAAACCTATCAATCGACTCTTACTCCCTTCTCTCACCAATGACTCTATCTGCAAAGATTTCAGATGATAATATGCACGGAAGTCCTTACCTGCATTGCTGAAGGGCTCCCTTTCTCATCTCCTATGCGTAACTCGTCGCCAGCGGACACTTATCTTATCCAAGAGGATGATACAGACACTTTGACTATTCCACCCATTCAGCTTAATCCTCAAGTGGCAGTACGCTCAATCAGCTTTTGCGAAAGCAGCCAAACCGCAAGGCCAAGTGACTCATGAGTGATTCTGTACAAATTGCTAAGACCAAAGTCCTCCGACTGCTTTGGTCGTTCCCTATTCGCCTTCGAGTACGTGGTTCCCACCCCTATGCTCCCAAAGGTAGCGTAAATAAAGAAGAATATGACGTCGAAGACCTTGTCTTCATCTACTGCTGTGATTGAAGATCATCAGAACTTTGTGAAGGTCTCCTAGATACCGATACCTGCAGATGAAGATGATCTCGGCTCCCAGCACCCTCTGGTTCTCGAACTAGAGGTGATCATCAGGCAGTCTACATCGAACATTACATTCGAGAACCTTCGGGGGTTAAGAATTACGTTCTTGAACCAACCTTTGCAGAGGTAACAGCCGTCTAAACTTGGAAATCAGTCATCTCAGACTCCGATCTATATGAGATCATTGCAGCCTCAGCACAATCGACAGCCTTTGTGAACCAGTCATCAATCTCTCAGACTACTCAGCCTGCACCTATGTTCACAATCTTACTGGCTCACTCTACTCCTCGGTTGTTTCCACAAGTCAACACAATCTCGAACCGATCTACACAACCCTCCTGGATGTGTCCAATATTTCATAGTCATACGTTCGTGAACCCATCTGCACTTACGTCTACTCATACTCTACAGATCTTGAATGTCGTCACACAGTCTTCTACTTATGTGAACCCTTATCAACAGCAGGTTTGTCCATATACTGGGGGCAATACACAGCCTTTCAACCAACCTTCTTAGTCTCAACCCAACTCCGTGGCAATCAGTACACGGCAAGACTTAGTGGCCGTTCATCAACAACATGCATCTCCGGACTTCGAGAAATGGGGTTGTATCTTGCTTCCCAGAATCATACATTTGTGCATCCATCTACGCATATGTCTCTACGGGCTCCTTTGCTCACGCAGGCTCATATCTAACCACAATCGGATTTCGTGGTTAACATCACTGGACAGGCCCTCCTGACCTTGTTACAACAACTTACACGAATTTGGAAGTCAGACAGCTCCGATTTCATCTACTGATGGTGACTATCCGTGAAGCACCCAATATTTCAATGGCTGAGGATAACTCTCAGGAGGATCTTGACTGTTTGATTTATACGACCTCTCCATTTTCTCACCCTGGTAAGATTCATCATCGGCAGACACTTATCTAAATAGGATGAGGATATTTACACCTTAACCACACTGCCCATAAGCCTTATCTACGATAATAGGACCCAACGCCACACAGGACTTATCATTATGTCGAGTCTGGGCATTGAAGATCTACCTCAAGAGAACTGCTACGAGAAAAGGAAACTTCAAATGCCCCTTCGAAAAACTCACTCTAAATCCCACAGATGCGTAGACGTGACGTTGCTGTCCCATAACAACTGACAGAGAGTCCATGCTCCCCTGTCGTACAAGATAAGTCAGCACTTGAGTGATTCAGTTTTGAAAGTAGCCCCCTTCTTAAGATATGGATTGTTTAAGACAGCTAGAATCTATAATTCTCAGCATGTCTTCAAAATCCATGTAATCATAAGATTAACCTTGTTTTATTTAGTTAAGAGAAGGTGGTCACCCGTTTACCAGTCACAGAACCAGAAGAATGAAGAAGAGTTCCCAGGGGGTATATGATCAGGAAAAATATGTAATTTTTATTTTACTTTGGCATAAAATTGATATTTTATACTTATCCTGGCTCATACGCTAAGGGCCCACCCAACTGTCAACTCTAACCATTATTTGACCTCCATGTTAGCTTAGTGGTGGCTGATTATGGATAGAGTGACAATATGGCTGCCGGTCACATGGAACTATTGGTTGGAAGGAGGCAAAGGACCCTGTTTGGGTGAGTGAACTTTTGACTGTTCTTGGGAACATAGGGTTAGAGGTTTCCACTCAACCTTCCGAGGAAAGGGAGATAAAGCAATAAGTATGAGTCAGGATAAGTATAAATATCAATTTCATCATAAAAATTACATGTTTGGTTGTGGCCTACATCTGTGTGTCTTGTAGCTGTGGTATACTGTGATCCGACTGCTTATTACATGAGTCAGCAGGATAATTCCTTTATAACTATGTTATCTTTTTGCAGGAAAGACAAGTATTGAAACCAAAGGAAGAGAAAAAAGAGGAGAAGGTTGAAGAGATTATCCATGAGGATGACTGGGGTATGTTCAACTGTAGCAGGTCAATGAAAGTCCTGACATAATAATGTGACTCTCTCGTTTACACTAGCAGCATATTGAAAGTCCTGATAGGGGTATGGGACTCTCATGTTAACTGTAGCAGCATATTGAAAGTCCTGATAGGGGTATGTGACTCTCATGTTAACTGTAGCAGCATATTGAAAGTCCTAATAGGGGTATGTGACTCTCATGTTAACTGTATTAGCATATTGAAAGTCCTGATAGGGGTATGGGACTCTCATGTTAACTGTAGCAGCATATTGAAAGTCCTGATAGGGGTATGTGACTCTCATGTTAACTGTAGCAGCATATTGAAAGTCCTGATAGGGTATGGGACTCTCATGTTAATGTTGAAAGTCCTGCATATTGAAAGTCCTGATAGGGTATGTGACTCTCATGTTATCACTAGCAGCATATTGAAAGTCCTGATAGGGGTATGTGACTCTCATGTTAACTGTATTAGCATATTGAAAGTCCTGATAGGGGTATGTGACTCTCATGTTAACTGTAGCAGCATATTGAAAGTCCTGATAGGGGTATGTGACTCTCATGTTAACTGTAGCAGCATATTGAAAGTCCTGATAGGGGTATGTGACTCTCATGTTAACTGTAGCAGCATATTGAAAGTCCTGATAGGGGTATGTGACTCTCATGTTAACTGTAGCAGCATATTGAAAGTCCTGATAGGGGTATGTGACTCTCATGTTAACTGTAGCAGCATATTGAAAGTCCTGATAGGGGTATGTGACTCTCATGTTAACACTAGCAGCATATTGAAAGTCCTGATAGGGGTATGTGACTCTCATGTTAACTGTAGCAGCATATTGAAAGTCCTGATAGGGGTATGGGACTCTCATGTTATCACTAGCAGCATATTGAAAGTCCTGATAGGGGTATGGGACTCTCATGTTAACTGTAGCAGCATATTGAAAGTCCTGATAGGGGTATGTGACTCTCATGTTAACACTAGCAGCATATTGAAAGTCCTGATAGGGGTATGTGACTCTCATGTTATCACTAGCAGCATATTGAAAGTCCTGATAGGGGTATGTGACTCTCATGTTAACTGTAGCAGCATAGTGAACGTCCTGATAGGGGTATGGGACGCTCATGTTAACACTAGCAGCATATTGAAAGACCTGATAGGGGTATGTGACTCTCATGTTAACTGTATCAACATATTGAAAGTCCTGATATGAAGATTGTTACATGTTACAACAATGTGTCAAGTTGAATATACAATGAATCAGTAAACAGTTAATTGTGCAGATATTTTGGAGTGACAGATAGACATACAATCATCCACTAATAACATAACTTCCTCCCATTCTGTCATATATAAATTACCAAGTGTTGTACAAGATCCACCAAGCAAATCAGCAATTATTACATCGTCATCATTTTCTCAAAATTCAACAAAATCAGATATTGATATAATATCACAAATCCTTTCAAACATTTCATTTCTCAAATCATTAAGATGTGTACAGGACACAATAACATGTTTAACAATATCAGAAGCTACTATTCCACATATACACTCTCCCGGATTCAATATTTTTACAGCCGATGTGAATAATATGAGAGAGTTTGTAAAATTCATGCTTATTAATCAAGGCTAGTTCCTGCAGTCTACTTGAATTAAAAGGCTCTCGGATAAGGCAGTATCTGGAGAGATCCTCTTTCACTGCTATCTGATGACACAACAAACTCTCGTAAGCGTCACAGCTTCTGGATTTAACAACATTATTCCATTTTGCTTTAGAGCATATAACACCTGTTGTGATATATGTATTAACAACATCAAACAAGCCATATTTGTTTACGAGATTAAACATGTACATGATAGGGACGGGTATTTACCATTGATGGTCATACATCTGGATTCAAACAGACGATGAAGAAATAATTGCTTAACAACATAGACATTGTTTAGACGGCAGATTCTACCAAACATAAGCAAACGAGATTTCTTTTTCCTTATCCTGACTCATGCTATAGTCTGTTTGCAGTGAAAACGTACCGATGATTTTCACTTTAAACAAGAAAGTAAATTGGATGAAAGTTTTTTAACAAACAATCATAGTTTCAAATCGTATCATTGGTTTGTATTACAAGGGTGTATGCACATCAAATGAAACACCGAGAACAAGTAGGGCTGGTCAAATTTAACGCTCATCACGTACTGCACATGCTTTGTTTCACTGTTCCATCTACTGTGCTTACCCCCTTGTAATACAAACCAATAATAGCGATTTGAATCTATGATCTCTTCACAGCTCTACGTAGAAGACGAGATCCTTCACTGCCGATATTGTACCTCCAGAAGAAGCAGATGTGTATGATGATCCCCCATCATCATACCTGAAGTCACAGTCGTCAGCAAGAAGACAAAGCCTGCTTCAACAGCTACATCGGCAACTATATCAGTGCAGACATTGACAGAGAGAGAGAAGACCTTCTATCAATATAGACATTGGGTACCAGAGATGGCAGCAGCGTCAACTGTTCACAAGTCCAGCGTACCTTAGAAGAGGCCTCAACGTTCTCAGAAGCACCATCAACCCTGCAGCAGTCTCAACATACGTCACAGAACTTCAACCTGGGGCTGTTTATGCAATAGTTTACAGATCAGATGATGTCGATGATGGAACGTCGCTTCATGCAGGAGGAAGCTGCTACAAAAACCACTACGACGACTACAAGCCTGTGTGAAGATTCAGCAGCCTCTCCAACGCACCTGGATGAAGAGGAAAGCCTGCGCGAAGGCCACGCACGTGACGATCTTCAACGACTGAAGCTAGAAGTCTGGACAATGCTACCAACATCAGCTCAGCCTTAGATTTCCCCGAAGGAGCCTCTAATATTCTCCACACAGAAGCAGATTGAAGCGTTCTCCAAAACCCTACAGACGCCGCAGATATGGATCGTCATCACCGTCGGACTTAGACTCACATTGGGAACCTGTGCGCAGGCAATCCACATTTCACAGAGGGGAGATTACGTCAATCAGCCTTCGTGAAGGCTTAGAGAGATATCTCAAGACTCCAGGAGGAATACATGGTCACACCGAGACCGTTCACCTGCACACAGCTCTACATACAGATCTACATGCAGAGACTCACGTTATTATGGATCTTCAGATGGGGAAATGTCCAACTTCACCGTCTGAAGTTACAAGTCTTGAGAACTCTACTAACGTCAGCTCAGCATAGCAGACCCCTCTGATGACAGTCGCCCTGCGCGAAGGAATATTAACTATACAGGCTCTCTCGGATGAAGGCCTGCACGAACTGGTACGTTCGCGAAGATCTTTACCGTCAGAAGTATCAGCAGTTAGAAGCCTGGAGGATTCAACGAAGCCAGCTTAGCGTTAGCAGTCCACTATGGAGACTCCACGCAGTTTCAGCGTCTCAACAGGAAGGATTCTAACACAGAAGTAGATCCAGTCATTCTCCAGGATTCTACAGACTGCGCGAGACAACTTGGACCTTCATCAACCTGCGCCCAGCAGGCACTCACGGGTAGGATTATAATCAGAGTCAGCATGTCCCGCCATTCGGACGATAGCAGATATCCCCCTTAATCATATGGAGCCCTTCATGATACATCAGGGTTTTAGATTACAAGATCATCAGTGAATCCCGTATTAGATCTTCAAGATAAGAAGATAACACAACTGGACACTACAACTAGATGTTGGCTATGTTGGATCAACGCGTGGCTGAAGGAAGAGACGCACACCTGAAGTAACGATGTCAGATAACATCTGATGAAACACAGTTAGCAGCATTGTCGCAGTTCCTCAGCAATACATTGGTTACGGTCAACTTTACAGAACATCTGTATAAGATGACGACTGCAGTATAGATTATAAAGTTGAAGAATACAGTCACAACAGACAGGTAACAGTCTGCTTACATCGGTACTATGCGGCGAATTCTTTGCGCGCCTCCACTCAGCCATCAAGACATGTGTTCACTCGTGTAACTCCGGCACAAGCCGAACAGAGAGGTTACGGACAAGGCCGAGTGTTGACGAAGAAATTAATGACTGCACATGATTCTACAAGGATTATTTACCTGCAACACCGGGGACGTCACAGTCACGTGCCAAGAAGTCGTCTACAGTTGTAAACAACTCTTTCAACGTGGGAAAGGCTCCATTTACAGTCCAGTTAGTAGGGTACAGCGTGGTTCGGGGGGTCTTCACGGGTCATAGAGGACTTCCCTTGTCAGCAGATGTAATATTGATTATCTGAGGACTTGCAGCGACTATAAATAGACTTCACATCGATGGCAGTCCAAGTACATCATAGATTTTTGCTGATCTAGAGACGACGTATTATGCATCATTGCTGCACATTGTTCGGATTCTGGTGACCACATCTTCATTACATATTACCGGAAGATTGATGAGACAAGCTTCAAGCCATGATTCCAGAATCAATCATTTCTCCGCTTCCATGACAGACATGGCAAGGGCTCCTAGATCTAAGTACGTATCTACAACGTAGGACATGATTGCAGTAGATGGCTAGTAATCTCCTAATCAGAGTTGGAACCAAAACAGGATCTTCAATTTCATCACACCACAGAATCACACGGACGGGTCGTCCCAGAAGCATATACAACATATGATATCTCAAGCAATGCTTTCTCCATTGACACTACGTGCTTGGCAAAGCATGCTTGGTCTACTCACCTCAGCTCAAGACATGACTCGCAGAGGGAGATAACAGCTGCGCCCACTACAATATTTGTGAATGCCCATCTCGACAGTTTGGATCCACTGATACTACCGGACAGTCTGAAACCATACCTTTATGGTGGACTCAGAAGTCTAATGTTTGCGGAGGAACCTTTTTGTCAGAGCCGGCTTGCAACACTCATCTCTACGTGGATGCATCACTACAAGGATGGAGTGCTCACCTCGACAATGAAGTGGCAGCAGGAAAGTGGTCGAGTCAGGATCAAATTCTG